CACTCAGTGTCAAGGTCATGTGTCCATCTTCCTGAGGACATTGCTGGGCTCTGTTACCTGGGACATGTGACCTCGCCTCCTGGGACTCCCCCCAGGAAACAAGCGGTTGAGTTAGACGGTTGCTCCCTGGGACCCACTCTGACTTTGTCTTCATGTCTTTACTCTACTTTCTTGAAGATGCCTCTTGTCACTTGCCCTAACAGTGCCACTGCCACCACCATTACATTATTTTCCTCAAGTGCTGTAGATCAGATGTACTTTTCTCCACTTTTATCATAAGTCCCCAAGGATACAGTCTGTCCCCCACAGTCTTATTTCATGCTTGTGGACGGAGGTTCAGCTGTAATCCCAGGAGATTCCCCGTGAGGCTGAGGTGATGCCACCAGGGAGCCAGATGGGAGAGGCTGCCTCCCTGCAGACACTGCAGGCTACGACAATCAGCCCTGCCCTGCTGGGGAGCCGTTGGCTCAGGGAGGAGGAAGACAAGAAGAGCAGCAAAAGCTAGATATTTGCATCTATAGAGGCCACAGACAGCCTATGTACGATTCTGTTATATCCCATATGTTATCCTTTCATGTACTAAAGACATTTTCTTTTAGAGATTTTCATTTCAGCATGTCTTTAAAAAAATCTTGTGTTAACTTGCCTCCATCTTTTCCTTGGGTAAGGACATCCTTACCCAAGAAGTGACATTTTTGTGTTAATGATGTTGCTGTTCATAGCTTTTCTTGATAGGGCTAGTACAATCTTGGGAATAGGGCTGCTGTATGCTGAAGGTCTGACAACAGCTCTTAGCCTTGCCTGTCTTAGGTAGTTACACTGCATTTTTTATTGGTGTACCATGTTTGATTTATCCCTGAAACCTTAAATTTGGAGTTTTTCTGAGAAATGGAACAGTAATACAGTATCAACTTATTAAAGTACATTTTAAGCCTTTTTTAAAAAAATAAAACCTTCACAATATGCAGGGTAACTTTGTAGCATGATTACTGGGACAGTCTCTGAAAGTATGATTAATTTACATGATCCTAATTCAGTGTTTCCCACAGAGATGAAGGTGCTTCCAGAACACAAGAGCTGGGCTGGGGAAGGGCATACACGGGCAGGTCAGCAGATGGCCATTGCTGCCCATGATGGGAGAAAACTCATCCCCAGCCTGGCCCTAAGTTCTTCCACCCAGCACCAGAAAGCTTGATCAGGAAGTGCCCAGAGGCAAAGCTTAGGGATTTCTGAGGCCTGTGGTATGATGCTAATCTCCAGCATAAGGGTCTTGACACCAGATGGGGAGAGGAAGAACTGGAGGGAACTTGGCTCACTCTGCTGCTTTGAGGGTTTTCGGCTGAATCCTTCCACTCTGACCTGCCTTTGCTTCACATGGTGTGCCCAGGTTGAGTTAGGATTGTGTTCCCTGGGCTGCCAATGAACTGTACAGAATCCCCCCTAAGAGAGGGCTTTGTGAAGCTGTGTTAACAAGGTTACCAAAGGGGATTGTTTCAGGCAGGTATGAGAAACCCTGCTCAAAGGTATTCTCCAGAAATGGGTCCCTGGCAAAGTTCCCTGACTGGTGAGTCTGCGTCTGCCCTATGCACACAGCTCTCTGCCGTGAGCACTTACTTTGTGAGGCCTCACCTCCCAAGGTTGTGAATGTCCCTGGCAGCCAAGCCTGAGGATTCGAGGCTGGGCCTGTTGTCGCTGTAGGCCCCACCATGCCTAAAAAGGGGCCTTCAGCCCAAAGCAAGCTGTCCCTAGAGCTTTCCTGCCAGGTTTTCTACCTGCTTTGGTTGGTTTACTCTTCTGCCAAGTCATAACTGATTCAAACCCATGGTGTCGCATACAAGCAAAGTAGCATGGAGATTGGGTAGAAAAGCACATGGAAAAGGCAGGACTTCACCAAGCCTGACAGTCGACAAGAGGGGCCTTGGGTCCAGGAGGACTTTGATCTAGTCAAGGGTGACCTGAGCCATTGGACACAGGATTCGCATTCGAGCTGCCTTCTGTGCTAAAGGTGTGTGCCTTCCAGAGGACTGTGGCCCAGGCCCAGAAGGCCTTTTCTCCTGCTGCTCTGGGCCTCTTTCCAGGCCTGTTTCCCTACTCATGTGCTTATGCAGCTGTGTCCGTGCATGCATGGGCAGGCTCTCCACCTTGGCCTCCCATCTTAGGTGAATTTCACCAGTCCAGCCGTGCCATGGCCAGACTACCCAAGAGGACCTAGCTGTGTAGTTCTTTGTGCGATTGGTACTCATCAGGCCCTGCCATGTCCTAGGCGAAGGGTGCAATCAGGGCAATGTGCAGATACACACACATACACGCGTGCGCACATGGAGCTGTGGGGGATGTGCGTGGGTGCTCTCAGTTTCTTGGTTCTCAGCACATTCTCTTGTCCACACTTTTATGCGCTGCCCCCTCTGCTCTTGAAACTGGGAGGGCCTGGTGAGAGGGAGTGGCCATCAGGTAGGAACACCTGCTCAGAAGGACTGCAGAGTCCAGGCGAGACAGCAGAATGGCCAGCAGTAAAAAGCAATAAAGAGCAAGGTGGTACAAGAGAACTGTGCTTGTTGCTTGCCAATCTTTCATTGACGGGTTACACTAGGGCAAGTTACTTAATCTTTCTCTCCCCTTCAAAGTGCTTATCAGTAAAAAGAGAGTCATGATTACTTCTTTCTTACAATGTTATATGAGTTAATGTTGTTGCATAAAAGCCTTCTGTACACTAAGGTTGTAAACAATAATGCCATCTCTGCAAGGTATTATTTGCAATGCAGCACCCAGCTCTCTTCCCAGCTCACGGAGCTCTCTTGCCCTCGTACCAGTTCCTTCAGCACCCAGTACAGACCTTCTCTCGCTTGCAACTCAAGCAGTGAGAAAGTCCTTTGGTGTGGCTTGGGCGGGGTCTTACCTTCTTGCGTGGAGTACCAGCATAGCTATAATGCACTCTGGCTTCCCCTCCCTTTCTGGGGGATGGAATGCTCAAGTGCTGATAGGTTCTTAGGCACAAATCCATGAAGGCAGAGTGGCTGAGAGAGGCCAAGCCAAAGTCTGTGGCCCATATTTTCAGTTACAGAACATTGTACAGCAAAACCATAAATAGTATGAGAAGGGCTGGCCAGATAGCTCAGCGGACTAAAGCACTTGCTTAGGCAGAGCACAGTGGCTGGGATTCGACCCCCAGCATGCCGTACTGGCCCCATCCCCGTCCCCCGGGTGCACTGACCTGGTGATTGAGACTGGGTATGGTGGCGCATGTCTGTAATCCCAGCTCTTGGAAGGCTGAACACAGGAGGATCACTATGAGTCCAATCTACATAGTGAGACCCTGTAGACCCTGTACCAAATACATTTTTAAAAAAATATAGTATGAGAATGGCCTTAAAGGTCATCTGGTCCAACTTGTTCATGTTTTAAGTGGAGAAATTTAAGGAAGGAAAGAAAGAAAGGGTCTCACTGCAGATCAGAGAGTGAATAAGAACGGAGCTGCACTGCTTCCCTTAAGAGCTGGCGTGATGCCTCTTTATTGGGTACATAAAGAGATTTGCTTGTCATTTTTACCCTCTCTGTCACCCTTTTTCATTATGAAAGTAACTACTTGGCTCATACCTTAGTTACTTTGTTGTCACTAAGACAGAAGATCAGACACCCACAGCTCTAGTGAGCAGAGGTTTATTTGAGCTCCCAGTTTGCAGGGGATTCTGTCCAAGCCCAAGTCAGCTCCAAGGCAGGGCAGCATGGCAGGGGGACTCACAGAGGACACACAGTTCCTGCCTGGTGTGCAGGAAGCAGAGACAGATCAGTGGTCAGGGAGAGAGACCTTTCCAAGCCGTGTTCCCAGTGGACCAAGCTGCCCTGACCAGATCCCACTTCTCAGAGCAAGTCAACTATTAAGCCTTTAGGGCGCTAGACCACCAAAGAGTGTCCCACCACACATTCCCTCTGTGGGCCCTTCTATGAGTATGAAGCTTTGGGGAACATTTGGCCTAAACTACCAACTGGTCCCACTGCAGCCCAGAATCAAAGAAACCTGGGTTTTGAGCACCAGTCCATCCCCACTTTCACTTAATTATCAGATGTTACTAGGTACCACTTTATGCCAACTACCAAGGACACAGAGAAAAGATGTGAACCCTACCTTCAAGGTGTTCAGAATTAAGTGAACAGTGCCCCATCCCTTGGACAGAAGGCTATTTTCCGCACCATTAAATGAAACACTCATCCCATCTGTGAACTGTAATTTATATTTAAGGACTGTGTTGACTGACTGGGTCAACATAGATTATGAGACTGGTGTTCACAGAAAGAAATGTATCAAATGCCTTAGTCCCCCTCAGTCCTTCTCTCAAAAAAAAAAATCTGTTGACCACCTATTACACATCACCATGGATTAAAATACAAATAAAAGAGAGTCCATTCCCAAGAAACTAACAATCCAACAGAGAAACAGTGATCTTGGGAGGTTTTCGTGGCAAGGGAGAAACCAAGGAGCAAAAATGTGCAAGCCTGCTGTGCAGATCCAGGAAGGACTGGTATGTGGCCAGACCGCAGAGACAGCCCTCCAGACCAGAGGGCAGGTGCAGAGCCATGGATGGGGGGAGTGCGGCGGATATGCAGTTCTGGTTCTGGAGACAGCTAAGTACTGTCAGTGTATGAAATGAAAGGCTGGCAGACTGTGAAGCTGGAGTAGGGAGCAGATAGGACCTTCGTCATGCTGAGGAGATGGGGCTCTGTCCTGGAGATAGGGAACACGGAGGGCTTTGGGGAATAGATCACAAAGTTGGTATTACAGAAATGCATTCAGCTGTGTGGAAGGTAGGTTGGAGTCAGGAAGCTCAGGGAGGAGGCAGTCATTAATCCAGACAAGAGCCAACGAGGCTTGATGAGGGCAGTGGCAACGCCACTCTGAGCCAGGCCAGAACTTGACTTTCGGCAGGACCCACCCATCTCTAGGCATACTTCAGCAGCACTACAGGGCAGGACCTCTGCCTGCGGTATGAAGTTATGCACTTAAATCTCCCAGAGCATGACTCACATCCTGGAGTGTGTTCTGTGTGCAGGAGACCACCCGTGCCTGTCAGGAGTACAGGTGAGGGCAGCAGAGTGGTCCCCAGCCTCTCGCTCACTGCACATCGCCCAACTTCTAAGGGTTTTTGGGGGAGGTGGATTCTAATACCTTTAATCCATTTTCCCATCATTAATATGAAGTTACTTCTGAGTTTGTAGTTATAGCAAATCTGTCCTTTCCAAACAAAGCCACCAGCCTCCGAAGTGACGGACCTGTCTTTCCTCCTATCTTATTTTGGATTCTGGTTTCTCTCACCTTGCTTTTGTTCCTTCTGTTCTTTCCCTGAAATACCTTTTGTCCTCTTGTCTTTCTGTGATTGGACACTGGAATCCTGTACAACCAGGCTCAAATTCTAGCTTTGTTGACTTTCGTAGTGACTTTCACAAGTTACCCACGCATTCCTAGTCTCGGGGAGCCGCGCTTGCCACTGCTCCCAGCTGTCAGAGTCAAAACGCTTTCTCCACAGCCAGCACTGCACCTTCAGTAGTGGTTATTGTGAGCTGGGACTCTAGTTTAATAATGAAGGTTTGTACTTGTACCAAAAAGAGCCAGGTGAGGTACCAAAAGCTTGGCAATACATCTTTTGATTATTGGAATAATTAGTTTTCTCACCCAAATTAATTAAACCTGACATCTGAGTACCCACTTGATTTCTGTATCCAGCTGTGGAATCCCACAGTAACTTATAATTAAGAGACAGTTGCTGATAAGGGATTGAAGCTTGAAATTAAAAGCTAATATAATAATAATAATAATAATAATAATAATAAATAGAGAAGCTTCATGATAAAGGGCATATTTGCTGATCCTAGTTCCTCTTCTCAAAAAAAAAGGAAAAAGGAGTTTGGAAAACAACTGGCCATCCTAACATGACCATCCTGGCTGTGCTGCAGGGCTGCTGGCACCAGGTGGAAGTTTTCCCTGGGAGTAGCAAGCACAGTTTGATTTCAACACAGCAAAAGAATTGTTCGGTGTTGGGGCAGGTTACTGACAATGGGTGTGGAATCTTGTTTCAGCAGAAGGTTTTAAAGAATAATGACAATAAAGTATGTGCTGAACTTACCCCTTCTGAGCTGTTGCAAGCGTAAACCTGCTGAGGGCCTGGGAGCAGATTTATGTCAAACACATTGAAGAACTCAGTCCACTTGCATAAACTCTTCAAAACCTAATTCACCCTCTTCTACCTAGATTTTAAAAACTGACTGGCAGTTTTCTTATTTTGGTGATCCTTCCAATTTTCAAAATCACCTTGATTTTTAAAATCAATCTACGGTTAATTTTAAAACTATAAAACACAAAGGAAATTTTAAAAAATATATTCTTATTTTTCCAGAACTAATGCGACAACTATTTTGTTTGTTTGTTTTGAGAGGCACGGAAAAATTTATTAGGCAGAATTGAAGGAGGACACACTCAAGGGAGTATGGGAGATGTGTAGGAATTATGTTAGTATCAAAGTACTCTTTTGGGTCTTTTCTTGAATACTTATTTCTTAAGTAGCCATTACTGAAAGTTTTATAGCATTTGCTTTATTAATGAAGTCTTTGTGAATAGTATGTTAAACAGCACTTACAGGAAATGACACAGACAGGAGAAGCAGTCAGGAAAGACTTCAAATGCATCCCACCTCCCTGCAGTATCTTGTGACGTTGACCACCTAACCTGGCACACCTTTGATATAGGTAATATTATTTTATGTCCTATAAGTTTTGCTTCCAGGGAGATGGCTCAGTAGAATAAGCACTTGCCTGGCAAGTGCAAGGGGCTGAGTTCAATCCCTGGTTCTGCCAAAAAACAAAGGTTTTGCTTCTAATCAGCAACAACAACTAGAATTCCCCAACTAATCCCTAGAAAGCCACCAGCATTTAACTCTGAAGGCAGCACTGAAGAAGTTGTATGAAGAAGTGAGAAGTGGAGAATTAATGTGGCTAATGAACATGAGCTGTTTTTATCTTTAAAAAGCTAAAATTTTAGAATTAGACCAACTAGTTGCTTATGATTGCTCTATGATTGGTCATCAAGTTTTTGCAGCTACTTTTAGATAATTTTGAGTCTTTTCATTCTTGTCAATAATGTCAGGTAACGGCCCCATGATCTGAATGTAGAACTTGACACTGGAGCTGAACGTGTGTTGTCACTCTGCAATTCTGACCTCTTGGGAGCCAAGGCAAGAGAATCAGAAGTGTCAGGCCAGCCTGGGTAATTTAGTAAGACCTTGTCTCAAAATAAAAATAAGAAGGGCTAGTGACATAGCAGAGTGTATTTAAGAGGTTCTGGGTTCAAGCCCTGGTTACCCACCCACTCACTCCCTGCCACAAAAAAAAAAAAAGTAATGATAGTAATAATAATAATAACCCTGGTAGCAAGCACTAATGAGTTGCAGTTCACAAAAGGAGATGCATAGAGTGTCCCCTTCCCTGACAGAATGGCATGAAGAGCCCATGCTGTGTGCTGATGACTGGTGAGGGCGAGAGTGAGCTCCACAACCCTTCCACCATCTCAAAGCCTCCTTTGATCCTGTCTTTTGTCACACCAAGAAAGAGGAAGACCTGGGGAAGCTGAGCGGACAGCTGGACTGAGCGCCAGCCTCCTCCCTGGGTTGCTCAGTCAGCAGTTGGAAATGCTCACCTGTGGGCTAACCCTTTGGTTTGCCTTTCCTCAGGCAGGATGGGGAAGCAGAACAGCAAGCTGGCCCCCGAGGTCATGGAGGACCTGGTGAAGAGCACGGAGTTCAATGAGCACGAGCTCAAGCAGTGGTACAAAGGCTTCCTCAAGGACTGTCCGAGTGGGAGGCTGAACCTCGAGGAATTCCAGCAACTCTACGTGAAGGTAAGGCTTCCGAGGCTTCTGATTCCTTAGACCAGGAAAGACTGTGGTCTGGAAGACAGGCTGCACATGAGATCAGTAGTAGCCAGTTGGTGTCAAGCTCAATTTTCTATCCAAGAGCAAACTAGGCATTTTTAAGAAATAGAAATGGGCCTAGAATAACAGGTACTTAGGAGACTGAGGGGAGAATCAGAAGTTCTAGGCCAGGCTGGGTAACTTAGTCAGACCCCATCTCAGATTCAAATTTAAATCAATAAGGAATGTAGCTCAGGTGCAGAGCACACACAAGGCCCTCCAGTGAATCCCAGTATTATAAAAAAGTGTGGGGACAAGAAATATAGCTCAGTGACATAAGTGCCTGCATGGCATGGGCAAGGTCCTCAGTTTGATCCCCAGTACCAGTAGGAAAAAAAAAGTGTGTGTGTGTGTATGTATGTGTGTGTGTGTGTATGTATGTGTGTGTGTGTGTTTTATAGACTGATCAAAATCAGTGGTAAATATTCAAAAATGTTTAAGCTATTACAGTAAAAGATACATTGCCATTAATCCCCTCAAAATACATCCCTAACTTTGAACGCACTTATCCCGTCATTCTTGCCACTTTCTGAAGCAGTTCTGCAGTGGCTCTTTCGCAAGCATCTCTATGAGGTGTAACCAAACACACAGCACTGCTGCTAGGAGTCATCTACTGGCAAGGCAGGTTGTGAAGACACAGCTCTGTGGCTCTGTGCTCTCATCCACCTTCTTCCCTGGTGCTGGCATTGGGTGACTTCTGCTTTTTCCCTAAAGTAAAAATGATAATGAGAGGTAAACAGTTTGAATCAACTCAAGACACTGAGGCAGCTGTGACAGCGCATCTAAAGATACTAATGAAAGAGGACTTGAACTTTTTCAAAGAGTGGCAAGAATGACAAGACGAGTGTGCTCCAACCAAGTGTGGTTATTCTGAGGGAGATCCAAGGCAGTGTGTCTTTTACTATAATAAATTCTTTTCATTTAAACACACACTATATTTTTCAGTTAGATTCCATGTGTGATATAGTTCCAGGCAGAGTCCAACAGTCTGAACAAGAAGAGTAACTGTTAAACCAATACACTAAACACAGTTTCGAGGATGACAGCATCGTGAAAGAACAATGAAAGCCTCCGATAATTGTGTTTGCTAATGAGTACTGACAAGCTGCTAATGAAGCATAGCTTGCCTTGTTGGAAAAATATGTATGTCAGGGCCAGCGATATTGCTCAGCAGCACAAGAGCCTACCCGGCAAGCACAAGGTCCTGAGTTTGATTCCTGGTACCAAAAAACAAAACAAAACATAATCTTTGGAAAAAATATATATATAATCCATAGTTAAAGAGAAAATATCTGCATGGGCTTTTTCACCAAGAAGTCTCCCCATGTGCAGATAAGAACCCGGGCTGTCACTGTAGCCTGCTTAGAAGAAAGCGGTGGAGTACATCCAGGGACATCAGTGTCAGCGGCACAGCCTCATGTTTCATACTGTTTGGAAGTTGACCTTTCCCTGAATGTTAGGTGAAACTTCCTCATAGAAGAATAATTTCTATGGCAGCTGTACTGTTTTGACTTGTCTGCGTTTGTTAATGATTTTGGTTCTAGTTCTGGCATGATTTAAGACATTCCAGTTCGTGTACACTTACATAGCATTGTACTTGTGGATGAAATGCATTTTTAAAACTTTTCTGACCAAAATACCAAATATAAAATATTTCTTTTTTCATTTCTTTGGGGCAAATGTCCATGTGAGTCATATGAACTATCCAAAGTACATGTACAAGTGTGTGGGATGCTTGTATAGAGTTTTAAGTGTTATCACTGCTTGTAAACAGGCCATTTTCCGTAGCTGGTGGTACAGCAGCTGCGCTCTCGCACTGCCCATGAGGGGGCATGGACAAGGGTGCTCATCACTGTGCTGCTCACTGTGGCAAAACTGGACAGCAGCCCAATCGCCCATGAAATGGAAGGTGGGAAATAAACCGTGGCATATCCACATGATAGAATACTGCAAAGTGGCTGAGCTCTAGCAATGCTGAAACACTAAGCACCAATGTAAGTGGTAAAGATTCTACATGAAGGGCTGGCGAGATAGCTCAGTGGACTAAGCACCTGCTTAGACAAGCACAAGGACTGGGGTTCAATCCCTGGCACCGCCTGCCACACCAGCCCCACCCCTGTAAACTAAGCCAGCCACTGAGTCTGGGCGTGGTGGCGCACGCCTGTAATCCCACCAGTGCTGGGGAGCCTGAAAACAGGAAGATCACTGTGAGTCTGAGCTGTGTGGTGAGACCTTGTACCAAATACATTTTTTAAAAAATTCTAAATGAAACAGAAATAAAATAAAAACATACTTTCACAGAACTACAAATAAATGCAATGAAATGCTATACAAGGGAAGGAAAGGAGTAGAGAATGCTGAATTCGGATGGATGGTGGTTTCTAATGCAGAGAAACGATGGAAGGGAGCAGGTTGTCGCGGTGCAGCTAGACACAGACTGTGTGGCGTCACGGTCGTGGTGGAGGTGGGCTTGCAGGTGCCTCATTGCATTAGAAGCTCATAAACTAATGAAAACAAGTGAGCAGCCGCTGATGAATGTCAACAGCCCGGCTTGTGATTAGTTCAGCGTTGTGTACCTGACAGCTCCCACAGGAACCTCCAAAATTATACCCTTAAATGTGTGTAGAAGGGTAAGTGTACATGTTCGTGGTGTAGGAGCACGGTGACATTGCTAAGGACTGAGTGGTTAATTATTTCCTGTAGAGCTAGTTTGCCTGTTATCTAATTGATATCAGCTGCTTTTGCAGAGAAGCAGGATCAGCGCATTTTCTAAACTGTTATATCACTCTGCATAGCTTCTGTCACATCTTCTGCCATTTTTCTCATGAGGCGCAGAACCATTCTCACCTTCATCCCCAAGGAAGGCAGAGAAAAGAGAAACGCGTCAAAGTCCCTTTCATATCATTACAGCTCAGGCAAGCATTGCCGATGAGTGTGAGAGCACTGTATGCCGCCGACCTCATCACTTGCTTACAGTTACAGGGGTTTGCCTTTAAAGAAACAACTGAAATGCAGGAAATGAAACATTTCATTAACACATTGATGTATTCAGCACTGAAAAAGCCCCCCCTCAAGCTGGGGCTGAGTGTACTCATCCCCGCTGCCTCGTGTTCCGTGGAACAGCTGGTGTCCGTGGTCTGAAGTGATCCCCCACCTTCCACGCAACTTGAGTGGACTTTCTCATGCCAGAGAAGGAGCTCACAACTTTCTGAACTTAGCTGAGAATCTTGGTAGCCCCTTATTTCACCCCTCTTAACGGCACAGAAAGATTTAAAACTGGTCCATGCCCTTGGTTGGCTAGGCAGAAGCAGGAGAAGTCTTTCTATCCTCCCAGCCTTATCCAAGGACAGAAATAAAGGGAGAAGGGCCGGGGAGATAGCTCAGTAGAATAAGAGCTTGCCTGGCAAGTGCAAGGGCCTGAGTTCAATCCCTAGTTCCCCCAAAAAAAAAAAAAAGAAAAGAAAAGAAAAAGAAAAAGAAAGAAAGAAAAAAGGGAGAATCACAGAAGCAGTGTGCTGCATACACAGAAAGAAAGGCAGTTCTAGCTAAGAGGAGAGCTGGGGAGAAAGACTTGGTTTATGTAAGAGGCCAGTGAAAGGGACCAGTGAGGGAAACCTCCTTTCATGGTCCTGGAAAATGCCAGCATTCAGCACGACTGTCATCCTGGAAAGTGAGCACCATCGGTAGTTCCTTCTCTGCTTAGTGTGGATCCAGCCTGCAGTCCTGTCAGGGAGCAGAGCTGCTGAGTAGGGTCCTCCCTCCTGGCCCTGCAGCCTCTGACCTGGCTGCCACTGCTGACCTGAGTGTTTCAGGGTCCACAGGACCCACCTCAGCCAACTAGAGCAGTTCTGATAGGACCTGGGTAGGAGCAGAAGATGCACATTTGCAAGGCCACAAACCCATTTTGGAAGCTTTTGAAACCCATGTGTAAAGGTATGGCGTCTAGATCTGTTATAGAGACGTTAAAACAGAGGTTTGGCCATAGGAAGCAATTTGTCCAGCATCACAGACAGTGACAGTGGGACGGGCATTAGAGACAGGAATGTAGACTCCTGCTACTGCTCACTTCTGGCTTCCCCAGTGCATCCCAAGGCAGCGCCTTAACAGCCCCTGGCCCACCGCTCAGCAGCCGCTGCGGGGACCTTGTGCGGCAGATCCAGGTGTGGTGCCTCCTAGTGCAAGACAGGTTTTATGCTTTAGTTGTGCCCATGATGGTTGCTGCATTTCCGTCAACATAAGCCCCAGGGCTAGCAGGGCGCCTGCCTCGGCAAGCACCTGCTGGTGTTGGCAGCTGGCTGTGCATCTCCTGTCTAGGAACCCTTGTGATGAAGGTGTACAAAACAAGGAAAGGACAGTCCTGCCTGGTCTCTGGGATCCCCTGGATAATCAGGAAGGTGTGACCTCATCTCAGGGAGGTGTGACCTACATGCTTGGTGCTGAGACAAGAGTAGAAAGCAAAGAGGTTCATTTGAACATGAAACATTAATACAAGAAATTAGTTAATGCAGTGAGAGGAGAAGCTCTTTGCTCTTAATTATAGGAGATAAAATATTCTTTGGGTAAGGACTCATAAGTTGTGCAAGCTTGGTACCAGTTATCAGCTTCTTCTGGGGAAGCTCTAAGCTCTAGTATCGTGCTTAGAATGTAACTCTATGTAGAGACAGGCTCCTTAAAGATGGGATTAAGGTACAGTGAGGTCATTGGAGTGGGTCCTAGCCCAGTGTGACTAGTGTCCTTTCAGGAGGATAAATTTGCATGTGAGGGTATGTGCAGGGAAGACTGTATAGAGACGTGGAGAGAAGACAACTGTCTACCAGACCAGAAGAGAGACCTCAGAGGAAAACAACCCTCTGTTGAGGGTTCCAAGGCTTCAGAACCGTACAAAACTAAATTTCTGTTGTTTAAGCCATCAGATCTGCTATGGCGGC